TTTGGTATTTTTTAGTGCCAACCTTGCTTTCAAAAATATTCCAGACACAATATTTCAACTGGAAATGAAGCGAGGAACCTCATTTTGTAACCATTTTTGAGTGGTGCTGAGTCCTCTTGGAATGCCCAAGGTCTGTGGCCAAAATGTTTGCTTGCACAATACACCCTCAGAATATTTTCACGATAATATTCGGCATTTTCTTCTGATGTCATTTCGGCATTTTCTTCAGGTCGATTAATACGAGCGGAGAGCGACCATCGGCTGTTATGGCGGCCCACACCATCACCATGGCCGGTGCTTGAGTTCTGGTGGCCAACCGAAGGTGCACATTTTCAGATGACCTCCTTGGCAAGTAAACACGACAATTTTGTTTGTATAAAAACTGGTGGACAACGAATGTTTTCTCATCGGAGAAAACCAAATTCGGCAGTTCACCACTTTCGGCCAAGCGAAGCAAATCTTTAGCTCTTTCTGTTGCGGTGTAAGTTCTTGCACTTTTTGGAATTTCAATGGCTTTACCCCGTGCTCGTTTTTCAATATTTGCCGAATGGAATATTGCGATATGTTCAGCTCTCGAGCCATTTTACGGCCTCAGCGACAACGAATGTTTTCGGCATTCGCCACTTTCGGCCAAGCGAAGCAAATCTTTAGATCTTTCTGTTGCGGTGCAAGTTCTTGCACTTTTTTTAATTTCAATGGCTTTACCCCGAGCTCGTTTTTCAATATTTGCCGAATGGAATATTGCGATATGTTCAGCTCTCTAGCCATTTTACGGCCTCAGCGACGCGGGTTTCTTCTTCTTTACTTTTCGAATCATTTCTGCTGATGTTGCTGTTTTCATCCGTCCACATCCTTGACTTCGGGCAACGCTACCAGTATCACGGTAACGAGCGATGGTACGAGACACAAAAGATTTATTCACATTTAAATGCTGGAGGACTCTAACGATAGCCACTTGTGGTTTTCCAAATTATATAATGAACTGTCACTGGAATAATTTTAACAGATGTCGGACGAGTGGCTTAAAAATGATAGCAGTCTTAGGTTGGTTGCATCATTTTCATCTCCCTTATACATATAAAACTTGCTTATGCAGGTCCTCGTCTTCGTATAGCTCCTATATAACGATACCTCCCTCAAAATTCAAATTTCGTAATTTAAGTTCGTAATAGCTACTTTAGAATATGACATAAAATTACTTATGAAGGAACACGTCTTCCAATAGCCCCCCTATAAGAGGTATCATTTGAGATGTACTTTTCCACGAAATTTTTTTAGTTCCTTCAAAATTATGAAGGGTACTAAAAGTTCGTCCTAGTCCAACCGGGACAATATCGACAAATTTCTCACATTTTATGAGATATGTAATCATTTGTGGAAAATTTTAAAATTTATGCGATGTACCAGGCACAGAGGTACCAAAAGGACCGGTCCGAAAAATTTTATATTTACCAAGTTTGAAAAAAAATCGCTGAAATGTTTCTCGTGTTTAGAGAGAGATAAAATTATTCAAAATGTTGACACTTTGTGGGAAAGATACCAGAAGGAGTAAACCGATTTATTACACCTTTACTTTAGATCTTGTGTTAGTGGAAATATTGGAATATGTGAACCTCAGAATAAATCGGATACTTGTTTCGAATGTTTTGTGAGTTTTTGTTATTTAATATTTTGACTCTTTATGGTGTAACTGCCAATAGGAGTGGTCCTATATTTTGTTTTGGTAGACATATTGGGATGTGTGGAATTTGAAGAGAATTGGATGCTCAATTCGCGTTTTATGATCGCGTTTTCGCGTTTTATAAATTGGACGAAGTTATATATGGGAGCTATATCCAAATCTGAACCGATCTAGACAAAATTTAGCAAAGATATTTCTGAGCTGTTTTGATATATTTCCCCAAATATGGTTGTTACAGAGTGCATATTACGGCTGCGGAGGACAAAAATAACAAATCGGATGAGCAATATATATGGGAGCTATAGCTATATCTGAACTGATTTCGATCAAATTTGGCATACTTATTTTCAGGCCTAATTTGGTTATGTGCAAAATTCCATACTATTCGAGCCAATGATTATTGCCAATTTTCACCCTTTCTGGGGGAGGGTGGGCAGATATCGTCCATTTTTGAACCTGACCTAGCACTGACAAAAATATTGGGATTCGCAGAATTCCTACAATATTGGATGATCCTTTCTCTTTATATGAGATAAAATATTTTCTTGGAAAATTTTGACCTTTTGTGGGGAAGTTACCAGAAGGAGTAAACCGATCTATGTTTGAAAATAACGTAACGATGTACCTAGTTTGCAACCATCGGATACCCCCTTCGAGATGTATATGTATTGTGCACCTCCGACTCCAAATATCGTCTTTCCATGAGACACATTTAGGCCACATCAATGATATATGCCCTTTGAAGATCCACGTTGCATTATGCAACCGTGGTACCTTCATCATAAAATATCATTATTTTCGAAAGTTATTTTGAAGATCTTAGTCATAATTTCCAAAAAATTAAGCTTCAAGTTCCGCATTTTTACAGGCAATTCAATCTTCATTGCGTAGGGTATCAACGAACATCCATGTGATTACATTCGTTTCCTACGCTCCCCGTCTTATTTAAACTTTATTTGTTTATTTCTTCTTAAGCTTTCCATATGCTGATCAACTTTCAAGAAGACGTCGAAGAAGACGAAGAAAAAGTAACAGCAAATAGGAGAGGAAAAAAAAGATAAGTATGGAATTCTGAAAACAACATTAACAATAATAGAACAAATGTAGAAAGTACATTTACAAACGGGTTATATTCTCTCCTCATATCCAGCTATCTCTCTATCTATGCATGTATTCAACCTCCCCCCCCCCCTTTTCCCCCATCACTGCATCTATACTTCTCGTGTCGGGGGTATAAAAGTTCCTGTTGTTCTGATTACTTTTATGTTGTTGGAACTGTTGTTAGTTTCTTTTCTTTTTCCAAACAATATTTAAAGAAGGGAGAAAACAGAACTTTGTCGTCAAAACGTCTTGAGAATGAAGACCAGCAGCACAGCAGAGTAAAAATGGCAACAGCACACAAGAATAACAAAAACAAGTGTTGTAAATGTCCTTTGTGCAACAAATTAAGAATGAAACGAAAACCAGATGCACATCCTGCAACTATGGTGATGCGGATGCTGATGCAAATGATGAGGAGGATAAGGATGATGATGGTGATGGTGTTGGTGGCCTGCAATGGCATTTTTGGGAATACGGAAATAAATGTGTAAATGTATGGACGGTCCTTTGCTCCAGGATCTCATGCAAATATTTTAACTTGTTCTGTTGTTGTTGTTGCTCTTCTTATTCGACAAACATACATTAAAGATTTTTCTTATTCTAATGAGCTCTACGGAATTGCTGAACTTAAGAAAGTAATTGACAGACAATAATTGCGTGTGTGTTCTGGAGTTGAAAAGTTCTAATTTCGACAATTTATGAAAATATTTTTCTCTTTTTGAAAAGCTTTTGTCAGTAAGTGTCGTTTTGAAGATTGGTCATGATTACGGATATTACTAAACTGAACGATTTTGAAAAATTTTAAGCAAAAGAGTGCGGTAATTCCATGTTTAGATATGGCAGACTAAATAAAATAGATTCCTCTCCGAATTTCGGGTTATTGAGACGAAGTTTTTCACCGAATCAGATAAAATTTGGCGAGTAGGTGCTTCGTTGGATTTAGGTCTCAATCCAATGAGGCGGCTACTTGCCAAATTCTATAGATAATTTTTACAAGTTAATTTTTATAGTTCGGCTAGGCCAAACTTTTAATACCCTCCACCATTTGGAAGGAACTTGAAAGATTTCAAAAAAATTTCGAAAACTACCACTTAAATGAAAACCGTTATGTGGAAACTATACGAAAACGTGGACCTTCTTACGAAATTTGTTGTCATAGGCTCTAGCACCCATTGCGAACTTTAAATACGAAATTTGTTACAATTCCTGTGAATAATGTAGCAAAAATCATGAAAATATCGAGTATCAGTACCATCATATGGGGGCTATACAAAGACGTGGACCTGCATACGAATTTTTTTGCCATAGCTTGTAGTACCCATTAAGATTTTCCAATACGAAATTTGAAACGATTCCGGCGAATAATTTTTGTCATAGGCTGTAGTACCCATTACGAACTTAATATACGAAATTTGAAACGATTCCGCTAAATAATGCCGCTAAGATCATGAAAATACCAAATATCGGGAGGTACCGTTATATGGGTGCTATACAAAGACGTGGACCTGTATACGACATTTTTTTCCATAGGTTGTAGTACCCATTAAGATCTTCCAATACGAAATTTGAAACGTTTCCGGGAAAAAATGTTGTATAAATCATTAAAATACCGAATATAGGGAGCTACCGTTATATGGGGGCTATACGAAGAGGTGGCCCTGCAAATTTTTTGTCAAAGGCTGTAGTACCCATTACGAACTTTAAATATGGAATTTGAAATAATTCTGGTAAATAATGTCGTTAAAATCATGAAAATACCAAATATCGGCCCATTTACCGGCCCGATCGACATGGCCCATTTACGAACTTAACCTGCCTACTGGTGAACTATGCATGTATGTACAATTTTAGCCTTCTATCTCAATTCGTCCGAAAGACAGCGTGATTACAACAGACGGACAGAGATCGCTAAATCTTCTTAGCATTTTATGCTGATCCAGAATATATATACTTTGTAGGGTCTATTATAAATATTTCGAAGAGTTACAAACGGAATGATAAAAGTTATATACCCTCCATAGAATGGTGGAGGGTATTAAAAAATTAATATAGCCCTCAATACATTATATCTACTCTTTTTTGGTATTTTTTATACCCTCCACCATATATAGTATAGAGGGTATATTAAGTTCGTCACTCCATTTATAACTCATCGAAATAATAACTTTAGACCCAACAAAGTAGATATATATTCTTAATTAGGGTAAAATTCCAAGACGATTGAGCCCTGTCCGTACGTCCGTCTGTCTGTATGTTGTAATCACGCTACAGTTAAAACAAATTAAGATAAGAAGCTAATATTTCGCACAGATCTGTCTTTTGTCTGCAGGTAGGTCAAGCTCGAAGATGGACTATATCGGTCCACGATATCGTATACGACCCATATTACGGCACCTCCTGATATTCGGTATTTTGATGATTTTAGCCACATTTTTTTATGGAATTGTCTGAAATTCTACACAAAGATTTTTTTGTGAGTACTTCACGCCCTGACAGAAAATTGTCTACATAGGCCCACGATATCGTATAGCCCCCATATAACGGTTCCCCCAATATTCGGTATTTTGACGATTGTCGCCACATTTTTCAACGGAATTGTTTGAAAATTCCCACAAGGAGTACCTTGTGAGTACCTCATCCCCTGAAAGAGAATTATTAATATAGGTCCACGATATCGTATAGCCCCCATATAACGGTACCCCTCGATATTCAATATTTTGATGTTTTTGCCACATTTTTCAATGGAATTGTCTAAAATTGCACACAAGGAGTACCTTGTGAGTACCTTATCCCCTGGAAGAGAACGATATCGTATAGCCCCCATATAACGGTACCCCTCGATATTCAATATTTTGATGTTTTTGCCACATTTTGCAATGGAATTGTCTGAAATTGCACACAAGGAGTTCCGTGTGAGTACTTTATCCCTCGGAAGGTAATTATCTATATAGGTCCACAATATCGTATATCCCCCATGTATCGGCACCTTCCATATTCGGTATTTTTAAGATTTTAACAGAATTTTTAATGGATTTTATTTTTTGAAAATTTCCTAATTCGTTCCAAACGGTGGAGGGTATTCAAAGTTCGGTGCAGCCGAATTTACTGCTTGTTTTTATTTGACTGACTGTAATTTTGAATTTTGAGACATCTCAATGTAAGTCAAGGTTTTTTTGTGACATATCAAATTTAGTTACAATCTACATCTCTCCATCCTAGGCAACAACAGTGATCCAAATTTAGGCCATTTTACTACTTTTCGTACATTCATAGTACACATTAGCAAAACGAACACCAGATCTTAATTCCAGATATCAATAGAGACCTCAATATCAAATTGCGGAATTTCAGTTTTATTTTTTCGTACGTTTTGTACAAATGTTGGAAGCATTTCAAAATTCCACCACCAAATCTCAAACACGGATACCATCAGTAATTTAATATAATTTAGTAAAATTTAGTAAAGCTCGGACACTTAGTATACATATTCAAATTTAATACCATTAGGTACAGTTCGGATACTTACGAGTAGTACAAATTCCAAAGGATAATCCGATTTTGCTCAAACTTTGCAAATCCCAATTTTTGCATCAGTTTTGGGTCAGGTGCGAAAATGGACAATATCGGTCCAATCCACCTCCCGCACAAAATATCTATATTTTTAATAATTAAGGTCTGGTGTAAAGATGGAATATATCGGTCCACTCGTTCTGGTACCTTCCCCACTAAGTGTCAAAATTTTGAATATCCATTAAGCTCATATAATTCGAAATTAACATCTGATTTCTTTTAGACTTGGTACATCTCAATATTTCCATCAATTCCACCACCAAAATTGGACCACTCCTTCTGGTCCCCACTAAGTGTCAAAATTTTGAATATCCATTAAGCTCATATAATTCGAAATTAACATCTGATTTCTTTTAGACTTGGTACATCTCAATATTTCCATCAATTCCACCACCAAAATTGGACCACTCCTTCTGGTCCCTCTCCCACAAGTGTTCAAAGATTTCAATAACCAAAACGATCATTAAAAGCTAAATAAACATCCGGTTCCGTTCAAATTGCACATTATTGTTACTAACACAAAATCTTCTGTGAAGATGGGATATATCTGCAAATCCCTTCTGATACCCAAAAACGATTACAATTCTCACTTCCTTTATCTGTCATAACTTGCGAAACAAGAAATATATAGTCTGAAAATATAGTCGAAACCTGGCACGTCGCATTATTTATATCATATTTACTTAGGTGCGACAATATTAACCCAATGGACAATATTGGCCTATTCCTTCGGAACCTACTCCATAGAGGGTCAATAATAATCATAAAAGAAGTCAAAATATTTTTTAAATAATCAAATATTCGGCTAGGGTATACATCTGTCGACAAAACCGATTGATAATTATACCCTACAACACTATGTGTTGGGGGTATTATAAGTTTGATTGGGCCAAAAATTATGTAACACCTCGAAATATTGGTTTCCCTCGCCTATCTCGCCGAGCTGAGTCGATCTAGCTATGTATGTCCGTCCGTCCGTCTGTCCATGTTAATTTGTAATCACTCTACAGGTCGCAATTATGGCCCGATCTTCACGAAATTTAGAATGTAGGTGGGGTTAAGGTCAGAATAGTACCCTATTTCTTTTGGAGATGATCGCATAATATTTAGGGGTTGAAGTGGACCAAAAACTGAAAAATTTCCTGATTTTGCAGTTGCTCTACAGGTCACAATTATGGACCAATCGAAGCGAAAGTTAGCATGGGGCTAGAGCTTTGGGCTGGGCAGAAGCCTTCCAATTCTGATGGCCATCGCTTAATATTTAGTGGGTGAAATAGACCATAGCATTTGTGATATATAAAAGTCAAATTTTCCATTAAACCGCGAATATTTTTAATGCCGGCGAAATCACAAATAGACGAACAGGTCAATCCCGACCGTTACGTAGATGCCGATAATAAATATATCGGTTATATATAGCGAAATACATACAATGTGTATATACAAAGGAAGGGGATGTTAGTTAGAATGCTTATATCTCAAGAAGGGCTGGACTGATTTTGACAAATTTTGTCAATTCAGAATGCCCTCTTGACATTAAAGAATAAAATCTACAAAAATCGCATAAAAAGATGCCTATAATCATGATAATATAGATTTTGTGAAATTTTTTTATTTTTTCATATTTTTTATCGCATGCGATTTTTTCAATTTGACTTAAAATATTGAAGTGTATATTTTGTGATTTTTTTTTCACCTTACAACACAGGCTTGGATAATTACATACAGATTTCAATTATTAGGTTAGGCTCAGTAGGGCTAGGCCTATTGTTTTCAAAGATGCCTGCAATATATTTCGGACCAGCAACTCAAAATGTTCCGTTATAAAGGTCACAAATAGAAACCAAAGGACACGAAATCTCGCATGAAGTTAGAATTTAAGACAGTGGGCAGAATGGACCACTACTTTTGTGAGAAAAAATACCAACATTAATTACAGGCGATATCCGAAATACACAATAGGCGAACTTCTGGCTTTTTATGCTGATTTCGTTGACGAATATAGCCAAATATCGTAGACAAGCAAATCATATAGATGAGTCTAAATTTGGAGGCACAGAAGGGCCCTTCTTTTTGAGATGGTCGCAAAATATTTATGGGTTAAATGAACCAAGAACAGAAAAAAAATTCCTGATCACACAATTGAAGCCAATCGACACGCCTGAGAAGATGGAAGAATTTTGACATTTTGGATGACCATTGGATTATATTTAGCCGTAAAATGGACCATAAAAACTAACAGCACGACGGAGTGCATAAATATTTGGAAAATGTCCGTGGTCAAAATGCTAAGGGTAATATCTGGGCAGTGCTCTGTGACATAATTTCAAAAGCGAAATCTTCCAAAATGGATTTGGACATAAGGGGGCTTCTAACATATTGTAGTGTTGTAGGGTATCACATGGTCGGCTCCGCACTACTATAGCCTTTGCTTACTTGTTTTTAAAATGTTTTTAGTACGTACTCTTTTGGTGCGAATTTCCAAAACCCCAGTTTAATCGCTCTCTTTGACCCTTGTGTTAAATTTCAAGATTCAGCAGTTTCGTCTGGACGTTGATTCTCGGTTATTCAGTCAATCAGTTTTGTTCACTACTCCTTTATATATACAGGGTATTATTATGCCGGCCCCTGAACGACTGGACTTTTGTCCTTTGTCCTTTCTTGCTGATTTTTTATATTCTATTTTTCTATGGTTTCGAAAAATTGGCATATTGACCACGAATATTTAATTCTGTGTTGAAATTTTGACATTTTTCATTTTTTCTGGCTACGTCCCTGAACGGCATGGTGCTAAGCTAAGCGGACACCTTGGTCAGAATGAATTTTGATTTTTAATTAAATGAAGTAAGAAATGATGAAAATATAAGAAAGAAGTCATTACCTAAAATACTATTCAAACGAATAAAATTAATAGATAAAGGCGACACATTTTAGATGTCTTCCCTATTCCACTTCAATACTTGTCCCGCAGCACAAGGGCTTTCCCTCGAATAGCATTCGGGCCCAACAAAACAGGAAAAAAAAAAACAAATGTCTTTAAAAATTCCTTTTTACACAACGATGTCGATGCCGATGCCAATGCCGCGGCTGATGCCTCTGAAGAGCTCTTTAAAAATTTAATAACAGGATACGAAATTACATTTGAAATTTCATTTCTATGGATGAAAGCGAACACCCACACACACCCACCTACCTAGCTACATTGGCTTTACGTTTCCGCTTCAAAGAAAATGAAGAGTAGTCGCACCGGCACAAGGTCTATATGGCCAGGTGGGTGGCTGAGGAGGTGTTCAACAACACCAGTTCGAGCATAGAAAGCATAATGAAATCACGTGTTGAATGTGTTGAGTGTTAAACTAACAACGTTGCCGTTTCACACCTCCATTAGTAGTAGCGACAGGGCAAGAGAGGGTGACAGCGACGACGGCGGATATGCTGCACTCATTCACGAACCTGGCAAATCAACAATAGAACTAAACGTTAGCGAATTTACTTCAAAGAGAATGGTTGGGAAACATTTGTACGCTGGCTGCATACATTGCAAAACTTTCGCTGAGCAGAAACTTGTTCTCTGTTTGGCTGGGTGTGTGTGTGTGTGTGTGTCCATGAAGATTTCGAAAGCTTTACAAAGTTGGAGGTGTTAAATTTCTGTGCGTTCAGTTTTTCCTGACAGTCGGTGTTGTGTCATCGTACAAGTTTTCTCATCCTAATGTCATAAGACTGGTGGCACATCTAGTTTCTTAAAGGGGAGTAGAAGTGCGAGGGGTAAGGGAAACATCAACATTGGCAACATTGGTCCATCGTCATCATGATAATTTAAAAACGCCTTTGTTGTTGTTTACGTGGTCTTCTTCATCAACATCATCCTGATTTTTGCTCTCTCGAGCTCATTCTCCTTTCTCTTCACCCCTCCCCCTCCCTTCTCAAGCAAACCAAATTCAATTCTTTGCGGCATCTGTGCAGCCTGTTAATGTTGCTCGTTATTAGGTTGTTTTGCTGTTTGATGCAACACCAAACAACGGCAAACTGATGGCTGTGATGGTGGCATGAGGCACACAGGAAACGGAAACTGTTAGCGGAACTAAGTCGTTTCCTCCCCCACTGATGCCTATTAGCATAACTTGGCTACAAAATATTTTTATTTGATTTTTTCCAGCATCCTTTTTACTATTTGCCTCCTACTTCTTCCCTCCTCCTCCTCCTCCTCCTCCTCCTCCTCCTACTCCTGCTCCTGTTTTTTGCAAATTTCTTCATTCTCGAAATTGTGCCTGATGCAGCCATGCAATGCCACAGCACTGTGCCAGTGTGTAAGCCTCGACCTGCATTCCCTGCAGACTACGGGGACTACGGGGAGCGAGACTTGCACAAAAGTTAGCCCGGCAATTTTGAGGTGTTGTAGTGTAATTTTTTGAGGCATTTTTAATTTATGGCGATTTATTAACTTCAACAGGACGTACATTTATTTCTGTGAGAAAAAATCAAGTTTGTTCGTTGTTCTCGCTTCCACAGGTGTGAACGATTTCGTTGCTGTTGTTGTTATTGCATTTTTTCTGTTTCGTTTCTTGTTTTGCCAACTGCCGCCTTGGCAGAAGAAATGCAGGTTAATTACCGTTCACTAAATTGTATTAACATTAAAATGAAATGTAATTAAAAACCCGGAAAGTTAAAGGGTCGTTAAGTTCGGTCAGAGTTTTAAGAAGCGTTTTGCATTATCTTGATGCTGAATTTCGTGCATTTATAAATCGCCGTAATGACAACGGGGGCATAAATTGAATAGGAGGACGCATAATTTTAGTAGTGACTGGCGAGTGCCCTTAATTTCATTTGCAAAATGTTGTTTTGATAATTAATATTTCACTTTTTTCCAAATCTATCTCCTGCGGAGGTGTCTTTTGTTATTTAAAGCAAATTTTTAAATAAAACAAGATATATACCCTCAGTCCTATGGCTAGACAGGGTATATATCATTTGATACGGCCAAAACGTGCCTCATCGAAATAACCGTTTTATACCCTGGGTCTCTTTGGACCAAATCCGTTTCAGGACATTTGGAGTCGATCTAGCGAGGACGTCCATCCGTCTATCTGGCTGGCCGATGGGCAAGATAACCCTCGAAGGGAGTATCCGATTTGCTCCAAAATTGGTACATCGTAATATTATTATCAAACTTAGATCGAGTTCAGAGATGGGCAATATCGGTCCACACTTTCTGGTACCTCCCCTACAAAAGGTCGACATTTTCAAAAAATATTTTACTGCACAGAAAAAGAAAGGATAATACGATTTTGCTCCAACATTGCAAATCCTAATATTTGCATCATTGCTAGGTCAGGTGAGAAAATTGACAATATCGGCCCACTCCATCAAGTACCTACACCACAAAGAGTCAAATTTTTGAATAATTATTACTCTTATAAAACAAGATGTCAGAGTCCGATTGTCTTCAAATTACACGTTTTACAATACTTTTATTAACCCAAGGTATGGTATGAAGATATATCGATCCACTCCTTCTGGTACCTCCTCCACAAAGGGTCAAAGTTTTGAATAACCAAAACGGTTATAAAATCAGAAATAAGGATCCATTATTTCTACTAACACAAGATCTGCTGTGAAGATGCAATATATCCGTAAACTCCCTCTGGTACCTCCCCCCAAAGGGTAAGTATTTTGACTATCCATGAAGCTAATAAAACGCGAAATAAACATCCTATTCCATTCAGACTTGGTACATCTCAATATTTCCATCAAACAAAGATCTGTTATAAAGAAATCGGACCATTCGCTCCAGTACCTCCCTCCATAGGGTTCAAGATTTTGAAAAACAAAAGGCTCAAAGAAAGCAAAATAAGCATCCAACTCTCTTCAAATTTTACACATGCAAACATTTTTGCTGTGAACCCTTTCTGGTGTCTCATACACAAAGGGGTCACAATTTGCAACACCTTTATCTGTCATAACTTGCGAAACAAGTCCGCGATTCTGTATAAAGTCCACGATTCTGTATAATTTCTACCAGAGATAATTTTAACCAGAGATTTTTACCAGAGACCTGAGGTGAATATCGATTCTACGATTTCGCATAAAATTGGTTATAAATGTTCGATTTTCTAGTAATTTGCCCATATTAATATTTTATCTGAATTAGATGAAATATGACAAGCTAAAAACCGTATTTCGATTGGGCCGAATTTGGAAGGAAGTTGAGTATTGAGCAATTAAAAAAGCTGAAAGTTCGGCCGGGCCGATCTTTGAATACCCTTCACCATTTTGAACGCATATGTAAAATTTCAAAAAGAAAAATCCCTTAAATATTCTGTTAAAATCATAAAAATACCGAATGTAGCTGATATTAAGATCTATACGAAGACGTGACAAATTTCTGTCATAGACTGTAGTATCCAAATTTAAAACAATTTCGCTGAATAATGTCGCTAAAATCGTCATAATACCGAATGTAAGGGAAGTACCGTTATATTGGGGGCTATACCAAGACGTGGACCTGCACAGACAGTTTTCTGTCATAGGCTTTAGTATCCATTACGAACTTCAAATACCAGATTTGAAACCATTCCTGTGAATAATGTAGCTAAAATCATCAAAGTACCGAATATCGCGGGACACCGTTATATGGGGGCCATACGAAGACGTGAACCTGCACAGACAATTTTTTTTTACTATTCATTTCGAACTTCAAATCCCAAATTTAAAACATTTCCGGTGAATAATGTCGCTGGAATCACCAAAATACCGAAAATAGGGAGGTACCATTATATGGGGCTATACCAAAACGTGGACCTACATGATCCATTTTCCCTACCAAAAGTCCTGCAGACATAATACACATTTGAGTAAAATTTTATCAATCAATCTACTTTATTTCGTTCGGAAGCTAGAGTGATTTCCACAGACGGATAGTCCGACAGACGGACTGACGGACGGACATCGCTAAATCGACATAGAAAAAATTGTGTGTTTCGAGGTGTTACAAACGGAATGACAAACTTAATATATCCTCCAACTATGGTGGAGGGTATAAAAAATACGTTAAAAAATACGGTTAAGAATGATAAAAATACCGAATATAGAGAGATATCGCAATATTGGGCCATTACAATTTTCAAATAGGAAACTTGAAAAAATTCGGTGCATAATTTCGCTAAAATCGTCAAAATGCCGAAAAAAATTTATTGAGTTATGTCGGTAAATTCATCAAAATGGCGAATATAAGTATCCTTTTGTGGGGACCATACTAAAATGTGGACATATAAAGCTAATTTTCAATACCTAAAGTCCTGAAGAGCAAACACAAATCTGACTAAAATTGTATCAAAGTACTTAAATTCGTTCAGATGCTAGAGTGGCTTTCAAAAATACTACAGACACAATAGTCAAACCGATTGGTATCCAGAGATTTTGGTGGCCATTGTGCGTTGAAAATGAAGCGAGAAATCTCATTTTGTAACCATTCTTGGGCGGCGCGTGCTGAGTGCGATGGTGCTGAGCCCTATTGGAATGTCCAAGGTCTGCGGCCAAAATGTTTGCGTGGCCAAGGCTCCAGAATATTTTCGCGATAATATTCGGCATTTATTCTATTGCCACGGTCGATTAATACAAGTGGAGAGCGACCTTCGGCTGTTATGGCGGCCCACACCATCGCCATGGCCGGCGCCAGCGCTTGAATTCCGTCACGAATAACTTTTTTTCTGGAAAATTCCCATAAAAATGCTTTTCTATGCTTAAAAACAATATAATGAGCTGTCACTGGAATAACTTTAACAGCAGTCGGACGAGAAGCTTAGAAATGACAGCAGTCTGAATTTGTTTGCATTTTTTTTTTTTTTTGGTCTACAATCCATTATATTTGAGTAAAAATTATATATAAATTCAGTAAATATAAATTTTTTATTTCACTCATACGAAGTACCTGACATTTGATATATTTGTAATTCTATTTCTATAAACTACATAATTTGTTTTTTTATTACAATTATGTAAGATTGGTCTCCAGAAATGTAAATTGTACCATTAATTTTTGGGAATTTCACGCCAAGGATTACAATGCCAATTTTTCTTTAGAATTACATTACATATACACACTCACAAAACATACTCACCCTGAACCGTTGAACAGATTATCCAAAGACTTGATTTGGTGTAACGCGTAATAAAGGCACCATCATCCAGGACATTAAAGTTCGCGGTGCCGTTGTAATTGGTATTCGGTTGTTTCTCTTCTGTAAATAGCCACTGAGGTCCGGCGAGTGCTGCAATGACAATTGCCACAGAAATGCTGCAATTTCCATGTAAACAGAAAACAAACACACACACACACGCGCACACACACAAAGAGAGAAAGAGAGAGAGAAAAAAAGAAGCGGGTCAGTAAATGGTTGCAAACATTTCAAGGGAATAGAAAACAAAACGAACAAAAAATACCAAAGACTACAGAGTCCAAAAAACGTTTCGCTTAGTGATGAAAGACTTTGAAAGAGTTTGCGAAAAAAAATGTTTAACAAACGACTGCAATAATGTTGCAAACACATTCCAAGCAACAACTATGAGAAGCAATAATAAAACAAAATCTACACCGGTCATGTGTGGAAAGAATTAACAAAAACGAGAACAAAAAAACAATAAATACGAATGCAGATAGACTTTCTCCAACAACAGTTAGTAAATAACATAGTTTCCCTTTGTTCCATTTGCAAGTCCATCAGCCGGACGGACTCTTCTCTTGTTGTACAAGGAAAGGATTTAGTAGGATTTCAGTGACGGCCGGCATTGGTAAACACAATTTCGGGGAATGATCATCGCAATGGAGAGTATAGGTTTTTCTATTAGATTTTCGGAAAAGTTTCTAAAAAGTGGCTGGGTGGCCACAGCAGATATTTGTTTTTTGATGTGTATAGGCCGATTCCCATTCAATACAATTAGAGTTAAGTCAATCTGGTTTGAACTATTGCGTGCAATAACTTAAACCGATTTGGGGCAAAATTATTTGTATTCTGTAATCAGGATATATTCAATTTGTCATTCTAGAAGAAAACAAGTTAAAGAGAATCAATCGGTATTGCCAACAGCTGCATACCCTCAAGCAATGCTCTATTATTATACCCTCAGCCATATGGCTACAGAAGGTATATATCATTTGATACGGCCAGAACGTGCCTCATCGAAATAACGGTTTTAGACCCTAGGTCTCTTAGGATCAAATTCGTTTCAGGATATTTGGAGTCATTCTAGCGATTTCCGTCCGCCCGCCCGTCTGTCTGGCTGGCGGGTGTGCCCGATAACTCTCGAAGGGAGTATCCGATTTGGTCCAAACTTGGTACATTGTAATATTATTGTCAAACTTAGATCGAGTTCGGAGATGGGCAATATCGGTCCACTCATTCTGGCACCTCCCAATTTCAATATTTTCAAAGAAAATAATTTACTGCACAAAAAGAGAAACGATAATCCGATTTCGCTCCAACTTTGGATATCTTAATATTTGCATCAATGCTAGGTCAGGTGGGAAAATGGACAATATCGGTCCATCCATTAGCTCCCCCACAAAGGGTCAACATTTTGAATAATTACATATCTTATAAAATGTGATGTAAGAGTCCGATTGTCTTCAAATTTCACAAGTCCCAATATTTTTATAAACCCAAGACCTGGTGTTAAGATGAAATATATATCGGTCTGCTCCTTTGGCACCTCCCAAAAAAGGTCTAAATTAAAAAAAAAACAAAATTGCACAGAAAAAAACGATAATCCGATTTTGCTCCAACTTTGCATATCCTAATATTTGCATCAGTGCTAGGTCCGGTGAGAAAATGGACCATATCGGTCCACTTCATTAAGTACCTCTCCCACAAAGGGTCAAAATTGTGAATAATTACAACTCTTATAAAATGTGATGGAAAAGTCCGATTGTCTTCAACTTTCACCCATCCCAATATTTTTATCAACCCAAGGTCTGGTGTTAAGACGGAATATATCGGACCTTTCCTTCTGGCACCTCCCCCACAAAAGGTCGAAATTTTCAAAAAAATATTTTTTACACAGAAAGAGAAAGTATAATCCGATTTTGCTCCAACTTTGCATATCCTAATATTTGCAATTCTAGGTCAGATGCGAAAATGGACAATACCGGTCCACCCCATCCATTACCTCACCCACAAAGGGTCAAAATTTTGAATAATTACAATTCTTATAAAATGTTATGTAAGAGTCCGATTTTCTTCAAATTGTCTTCTTCACACATCCCAATATTTTTATAAACCCAAGATCTGGTGTTAAGATGGAATATATCGGTGCACTCCTTCTGGTATCTCCCCCACAAAGGGTCAAAGTTGTGAATAATCAAGACGATTATAAAAAAATTAGAAATAAGAATGCGGTTCTCTTCATATTTCACACGTAACAATATTTTTTATTTTACCCAACGTCTGGTGTAACGTCTGGTACCTCCCACATAAAGGGTTAAAATTTTTAATACCCATGAATAAAACGCGAAATTAACATCCGATTCCCTTTAGACTTGAACCATCTCAATATTTCCATCAACACAAGATATGCAATAAAGATGGTAGAGATCGAACCATTTCTTCTGGTACGTCCCCCACATAGGGTTCACCATTATGAAAACATAGCGCTCAAAGAAAATAAAGTAAGCATTCAACTCTCTTCAAATTTCACACATACAAGCATTTTTGCTAACACAAGATCTGTTATGGAGATGATATATATCTGCGAACTCCTTCTTGTACCTCACCCACAAAGGGTTACCATTTTAAATTACCCCATACCTTCAGAACCTACCTCATAGATTTAAGAGGTAGACATTCATGTCCTAATTAACAGAAAGTATTTTTTCTTAGAGGCAGACCCGGATGCTTGAATATGAAATATTATTTTCCGATATGGGAAATATAGGTATTATTCGATAGTTAATGAAAATAACTATTCAACAAGTGGTCAAATGTTGGGATTATATCGAAATTATCTTTTTTGTACCCGGAAAAATCCACCAAAAATTGAACAAGTAAAAAAGCAGTAAGTTCGGCCGGGCCGAACTTTGAATACCCTCCACCATTTGGAACGAATTAGAAAATTTTCAAAAAAAAAATCCAATAAAAATTCTTTTAAAATCCTTAAAATATCTAATTTAGGAAGCTGCCGATATATGGGGGGATATACGATATTGTGGACCTATAAAGACAAATCTATGTCTGGGGGTAAAGTACTCACAAGGAACTCCTTGTGTGGATTTTCAGATAATTCCATTGGGAAATGTGGCTAAAATCATCAAAATACCGAATATCGCGGGGTACCGTTATATGGGAGCTATACGTTATCGTTAACCTATATAGAGAATTCTCTGTCGGTGGGTAAAGTGCTCACAAAGAACCCCTTGTGTACAAAGAACCCCTTGTGGCCATTCCGTTGAAAAATATGGCTAAAAACATCAAAATACCGAATATCGGGGGTACCGTTATATGAGGGCTATACAATATCGTGGATCTATATAGATAATTCTCTGCCGAGGTATAAAGTACCCACAAGGAACTCTTTGTGTGGATTTTCAGACAATTCCGTTGAAAAATGTGGGTAAAATCATCAAAATACCGAATATCGGAGGTTACAGTTATATGGGGGATATACGATATCGTGGACCTATATAGACACTTCATTTTGAGGCGGTAAAATGCCCACAAGGGACTCCTTTCGTGGATTTTCAGACAATTCCGTTGACAAATGTGGGTAAAATCATCAAAATACCAAATATCGGGGGTACCGTTATATGGGGGCTATACGATATTGTCGAAATATATAGATAATTCTCTGCCGAGGTATAAAGTGCCCACAAGGAACTCCTTGTGTGGATTTTCAGACAATTCCGTTGAAAATGTGGGTAAAATCATCAAAATACCGAATATCGGGGGGTACCGTTATATGGGGGCTATACGATATTGTGGACCTATATAGATAATTCTCTGCCGAGGTATAAAGTACCCACAAGGAACTCTTTGTGTGGATTTTCAGACAATTCCGTTGAAAAATGTGGGTAAAATCATCAAAATACCGAATATCGGAGGTTACAGTTATATGGGGGATATACGATATCGTGGACCTATATGGACAATTCTCTGCCGAGGTATAAAGTACCCACAAGGAACTCCTTTTGTGGATTTTCAGACAATGCCGTTGAAAAATGTGGGTAAAATCATCAAAATACCGAATATCGGGGGGTACCGTTACATGGGGGCTATACGATATCGTGGACCGATATAGCCCATCTTCGAACTTGACCTGCCTGCAGACAAAAGAGAGATCTGTGCAAAATTTAAGCTTCCTATCTTAATTCGTTTAGACTGTAGCGTGATTACAACAGACGGACAGACGGACAGACGGACGGACAGGGCTAAATCGTCTTAGAATTTTACGCTGATCAAGAATATATATACTTTGTTGGGTCTAAAATGATTATTTCGATGAGTTACAAACGGAATGACAAAGTTAATATACCCTCCATACCTTTTTTGGTGGAGGGTATAAAAAGGTCTCATTTCATGCTACAATATGTGTTATTATCTTTGTTGGACCCAGAGATATGGGTCTTTCAAACCGGAAGAGCCGATTATTTTCAATATAGAGAAATTATGTTTTGAGTATAAATGTTTTTCTTCGAGTTGTCGGTGTTGGACTCACGCCGCCTACTTAAAAAATAATCAAGTTTAGAAAAACTTTGGTGCTCTTGGCCGGTGTTGGACATGCCCCGTCCGAAAGCGGCTGCCTTAACCAGCATTAAATTTAGGAAAATTGAATCTGAACCGGTTTACCAGAGACCGGATCCAGGAAACATAATATCACAAATTATGGCATTTCGGACCCCCAACTTTTTGGGGGTTTTATAAAAAATTCGATAATTTTGATTTAAATTCCAAATCCTTTAAAATAACCCGACAATGTTACCACTTGTTGTATATGAATTTTGATTTTCAAATGATACCTATATTGTCAATATCTCACTCGGGTCTTGGGCCCGGATTTTTGATCAAATATCCGGATCCGTCCTCCAAGAAATCAGAGTAAAAATACATACCTCTGCCAAAATTTAAAAAAAACCGACCGTTTTTACTAAACTAGAGTTGTTCCAAATATGCGTTTGCATCAAACTAAACCATAAAATGTTTAAACACTCATTTCTCCTACATATTCGTTTGTTTTTATTCTTCTGCAGTTTCCCCAAAAAGGACACACAGCCTACCTCACTGCCAGCATGTTGAAATATGTTTAAAT